GGGTCGGAGGGGGGGGGGGGAGAAAGAGAAAAGCAGTTGAAAGAGGACATAAAAGGTGGTACTGACGTGGCCACTAATAGCGTTAAAGGAAACCGTCTCGTAGCAACATGCTTTTGTGACATAATGATACATTTAGGTAGATGTGTACAAAGCTAAAATCCAGCGTCTATCACGGATGTAGTAATACAATGCAATATAGCCCCACTTTTTCGTTAACAAAGTCTACCATTCTCTATTAACAAGGTCTACGCTCCTTCTGGGTTTTCGATACATCATTACTTCCGTTTTTGCCATATAAATAAAATATTGTGCCATATTTCCCCCATATTACGGAGTCTGGTTATTAATTTTATTTTGGATACACAAAAAGTATTATCTCTATCGTCTTTGTAATATTAGGGAGATCCGGTCTTGCAAAATTTAAAATAACTATCGTATATCATACGTGTATGTTAGCATTTTTAAATAATAAAAATGCTACTATTATACGTAACATTACATACTTATTTCTAACAAAAGGGTTTTCAGTGGAAAAGAAACAACACAAGAAGTTACCGTTTAATGTGTTACTTTTAAAAGCTACAATAGTTGTTTGTGACTTTATTTTTGAAAAGCTATGGTCTAGCAATTTAAGAAACAAAAAAATATATTAGATAAAGAAAATGTGAAAAAACTGTTACAGTAATAAAGAAAACATAGAAAAGAATAGAATATATAGTAGTAAAGAAAGCGAAGGAGCCAAGAAAGGAATTATGGTAGCAAGGAAACGGTGAAACAAAGTTAGAAGAAATAGCAACAATAGAAACAAGTAACACAATAAAATCGAGAAGCCACAAGGAAAAATGAAGTTTCACAAGGTGAAAATAGGCAGATTTCAAAATGCTCTCAAACGGAGAAAATGTGCAATTTCAACTTTCTAGAATCTTTTGGGATTCTAAGCGACATATGTCCAAAATTGAAGAATGCCAGTTTTAGGTAAAATGAAATCGAATAACGAAATTGATGATGCGAAAATATCATACAATAATACACGTATTGCACGTAGTCGATAACGTATACAAATGCAGAATAAAATTACTAAAACTTTATATATGAATAATGGATATTATCCATTTTGCCATAGTTAAAATAAAAACAGAAAGTTTCACACAAAATTTTAACACAGACTAAACACTATTTAAATATAATTTCTTCAGTAAACACGCTGCAACGAAAAATCTCACCACCAATTTATATATTATTAGGTAAGAGATTAAGTTAACCATGAATTTATTTTGCAATATGCAGTTTGCTTGGTAACGTATATAGCGCATATATTATTAAAAATTTCATACCGACGAAATTATATATTTTCTAAATGTAATATAACAAAAATAACCGAAAAAAATTTACCAAAGAATGAACACTTTAAATATTATCTTTTTAATACACATACTATAACAGACACTCTCGACGTTAATTTATTCTGTATTATCAAACGAACGATTAAGTTAACGGCAAACTGATTTTTAAAAACGAATAACGATTCGATCAACAGATATTTGAGAGAATTTTCTTTGTTGAAGTTCTTCGGTGACACAGTCCGCGTAACACGAAAGATAGGAGTGCACTTTCCCTGATTTCAACTGCGTCGACTAAGATTTTATCACATCCACTCCCGGGGATCGAATCATGGCGGTCCAATCCAACGTCGATTCTGCTTTCAATTTACAGCACTCCAATTTCAAATTTTCTCCGCGGCAAGAACGTAGAAGTCTGCTAGCTTGTCCATTCGAGAAGGAGCTTCGAAAAGAAAGTCAGGATACATTTACCCCC